GCAAACCTCAGAAGGGCAGGTGACTGACAAAAAGTTCATATTGATAAAACTATGTTGGACATTACCTCCTGTTGTAAGTCCAGCTGAGTGCACCTACTGCCTGCTTCATATATTATGTATTGTGAGTAACATTCACAATAAATGGCAATGCACCGGAGTGCACATATACTACTGGTTGTTGTACGCTTGTATTTAATACACATGATAGTGCTCATAAACTGCACATACAGATGTGTATAGGAAAACTTTTTGTAATGCATACATAACTGGACTGAATGATGTATTAATAAGGGAATCTAGCTAAAAAGTTTTTCAAGTTTTCAAAAAAAATGCAAGATTCTTTCAACCCTTCTTAAAATTTTGGGGATTTCCCCACAGGGGATATTTCTCATTACTTACTGTTCAGATGGCCATTGTGTATGCATTAATAAAAATACATCAAAACAGCATTAAAGCAGATTTCCACCCAAAAGGGGAAGTTCCGCTTTAAGGACTGCTGCCCCACTCCCCATAAAGATTGGCACCTTTTGGGGGCGGGGAGGAGCAAATATCCAAATTTGACAGGTACCCACTCCCACTTTCAGTCTGATTGCCTAAGCGATCGGAAGCAAAAGGTGTCCTCCCTCCCTCCCTCCCTCCCTGTAGTCTTTTGGGACACGTGACAGGTCCCAGAAGACTACAGGACCATTCATGAAGCGCAGTGCTACTTGCGCATGCGCAGTGGGTACCCGGCTTTGAAGCCACCAGCTGTCACAGCCGGATGCACACACTGAAGATGCTGGCGCCTGGAACACGAGTCGGCTGGTGGAACGGGTTGCGGGGAAGACACTGCGGGATCAAGGGACAGGTGAGTGGCTGTTTTTTAAAAGTCAACAGCTACAGTTTTTGTACCTGCTGACTTTCATTTTTTGACAGACTAAATTTGAAAAAAAATGTAGTCTACAGATTAGGCATCCCTCTCCATATTCACTATAGAAGTAACAGATAATAATGGGGTTTACTAATGTGATTATTGCCCCGGGCTCACTCGTATTTTAAAGTGGTTGTAATCCCTCATATATACCCAGTGAAGTGACTGGCCTTGGGTGATACACAGATATTAAACAAATCCACCTACATGAGTTGTACCTGTTTATCTACAGTCATCTTTCCTCTACATCCTTGACACAAGATTTCTCAGCTCTGAAAAGCAGGGGGCAGGAGCTGAAGTTACATCAGCGAAGAGAGCTCTATGAGCTGATTGGAGGGAAGGGACACACCCTACTTTACACAGCACACAGGAACAGAGCTGCAACTGTCAATCATATACTGTGCCCTCCCCTGTCACCATTTTCCTCTTGTTGTCAGGAAAACTCATCAGAAGTGATTCATGAAGATAGCAGAAGAAAGAGTCGGCAGACAGAAATGACACCTAGTACTCTAGTTTGAGACAAGTACACATTATATAGGGATATGTTCTCTTCATATTTCATGTCTGAGGTTTACAACCACTTTAAAGTGGTGCTATGTTATCTAACTGACCCCCCACATTTGTTGGTCTTGCCAGATTGAGAATTGTTTACTACCATCTAAGTATGGCAGACAATCTACAAACTGATTGGTGAAGGCAATGGTGCCTCCCAGAAATAGTGGCACATGCTACATGAACAGAGGATCTCACTATTTCAGGCACTCAACAAACATTATTTTGTATGCCTTTATTCTCAGAAGTACTTGGTGTTGCTTTTAATCAACTCAATTTTTTATGGGATAAAACAAAATGGCATGTCCATTATCCCATTTTACGGCATGTCAGAGTGTTTTCCTTGGAAATTGTGTGATAAAGGTGCATTGTGATTTGACTGAGCTCTTGCCAAGCTGATTCTGATTAAACTCATAATAGATATGCAAATCTTTCCCCGGCATTCGGACTGATGTATTATACGATCGTCTGCGGGGAATTTCCAGGCAAGATTTAAGTTTGTTTTTTTTGTTTTTTTTTAAACAGAAGAATAATAAAAGACAGAGTTTGATTCATTCTGTGGAGCTATTTATGTTCTGCTTTGTTTGTTTACATGGGAATGGATAGAATATATGTTGCAATATACACATTGTGAGGGTGAAAACAAGTGCGCTCTTCTAGGATGAATTCCTGATTTGAGTGCTGATGAACTGAAATGGCTGTTTTATTTCCTAGCTTGTAGAAGAATTGCATCTTCATTTAGATTTTTAAGACAGCTATCTTTTCTACATTATTTTCTACCTCTAACTTTTTTTTTAGCACAACTAAGAGAGTATTTTATTAAGATAACTTGTCATGAATTTAGGCAATTCAAAATCCCTGTAAGATGGAAAATAGGACAAGTAGAAGTTATCTATAGCAAAGACTATATCAGAGCAATTAAAAGATTCGAGGATATAAACCACTGCAGGTAATTGCAATGTTTATTGTTAAAGTAAGTCTTGGTCCCTCCCCTCTAACCTCATTTGCTTTCTGATTAGTGAGTATTATTATTATTATTATACAGTATTTATATAGTGCCAACAACTTGCGCAGCACTTGACAAAATGAAGGTAGACATTGCAGTTACAATACAATTTGGAAAAGAGGAAACAGAGGGCCCTGCTCGATAGAGCTTACAATCTAGGAGGAAGGGTTGAGTGATACAAACGGTAATAGCTGTGGGGGATGAGCTGATGGAGGAAATAAATGGCGGTTTAATAGGTAGAAGTAGGATAGGCTTCTTTAAAGAGAAAGGTTTTCAGGGATCGTCTAAAGGTGGATAGATTAGGAGATAGCTGGACAGATTGGGGTAGGGTGTTCAATAGGATGGGAGAAGCTCAGGAGAAGTCCTGGAGGCGAGCATGGGAGGAGGTGACATGGGAACTAGAGAGCAGAAGGTCTTGGGAGGATCGAAGAGAGCGGTTTGGTTGATATTTTGAGACCAGGTTAGTGATGTAGCTGGGGGCAGAGTTGTGAATGGCTTTGTAAGTTTTTGTTAGTATTTTGAATTTTATTTGTTGGGTGAGTGGAAGTGAGTGGAGGGATTGGCAGAGAGGGGTAGCAGAAACTGAACAGTTGGTAAGGTGGATGAGCCTGGCAGCAGTATTCATGAGGGACTGGAGGGGGGATAGCCTATGTAAAGGCAAGCCAATGAGAAGGGAGTTGCAGTAGTCGAGGCAAGAGATAACCAGGGAGTGAATTAGGAGCTTTGTGATATCATTGGTTAAAAAAAGGCGTATTCTAGAGATGTTGTGGAGTTTGAGGTGGCATGATTTGGACAGGGATTGGATGTGGGCCTGAAAGGATAGTTCTGGATCCAGGGTTAACCCTAGCACACTGGCATGCGGGGATGGCGTGATTGTGGCGCTATTGATCCTGACCGAGAAATCAGGGGAAGAGGCACGTGGGGGAGGAAATATTATGAGCTCAGTTTTGGATAGATTGAGTTTTAGGAAGAGGTGTGACATCCAGTCTGATATGTCTGTCAGTAAATTGGTGACATGTGAGGAAGCTGATGGGGTGAGCTGAGGAATAGAGAGATAGATTTGTATGTCATCAGCATAGAAATGGTATTGGAAACTATTGGAAGCTATCAGCTGACCCAAAGAAGAAGTGTAGATTAAGAATAGGAGAGGTCCAAGGACAGAACCTTGGGGGATTCCGACAGAGGAGTAGGAGAGGAGCAAGTAAGTGACACTGAAGGTGCGGTGAGCTAGGTAAGATTGGAACCAATGAAGAGTACAGTCACAGAGACCAAGTAAATAGAGTTTTTTTAGGAGAAGGGGCTGGTCAACTGTGTCAAAGACAGCAGAGAGGTCCAAGAGTAAGAGTACGGAATAGTAACCATTGGTTTTAGTGGTTAGTAAGTCGTTTGTGAGTTTTAGGAGAGCAGTTTCTGTGGAGTGTTGTGGGCGAAATCCAGATTCATGGGGATTGGAAAGGTTATTCTCAGCCAGTTGTAGACTGTATGTAATGATGGACAGTAAGCCTATCCATCATTACAGCAACCAATAGAATGCAGGAAAGTGGGCGCAGCTCATTTTTAACAATAAAAATTGGGATGTGCATAGAAACTCAGCAACCTGCAGAGTTCATGATCCTTTCTGTAATTTTTCATCGTTAATTGACACTGTTTTTGCTATAGAGAAACATTATTTTGCCATGCATGGGAGTTTATTTTAACCGCTTCCCATCCTCCCATAGTCTATAGATGAACGGGAAGCTGTGCAGATGCAGGATAATGTACCAGTACACCAACCTGCATCGGTGGTTCCTGTGCGGCTCACACAGTGTGCACCCAGGACCCAGCAACTGGTATGTCACCAGGGCAGAGCGGATCACATTACCATTGTGTCCAGGTGATCACATAGTGTTTTACCATGTGATTGCTGTGTCCAATCACAGCAATTACACATAGTAAACACTAGAAACTGAAACTAAAGATTGGTTCTTTCTGCTCTCACTGTGAGAGCAGAGAGAACTTATGCAGCAGCCTGTGAGTGTACAAGCAGCCTATCGGGCTGCTTGTACACTCACAGCTGCTATGCCAGCCACCGCAGTATCCCTCATCACTGCCCCAGTGTAGGAAAACTAACCAATGTTCTGATCACTGCCATGCTAGCGTCCTGATCATCGCCATACCCCATACCAGTGCCCTGATCACCTCTATATGTCTTACCAGTACCCTTATTACTGCCATATACCATACTAGCATCATGATCACCGCCATACCCCATACCAGCATCCTGATTACCCCATATGCCACACCAGTGTCCTCATCATCACACTACATACCAGTGTTCTGATCACCACCATACCGCATACCAGCATCCTGATCACCACTATACTCCTTACAAGCATCCTGATCACCCCATATGCCATACCAGTGTCCTGATCACCACCATGCCACTATGGTGGCAGTGTGAAGGGTTATTTGCGTAATTAACCTGACCCATTAACAATCGCTCTCAGGCTGTGGTACATAGATTGTGGTCCATTAGCTGGAAAATCTTTGTGCAGGGTGCAGCTGAGTGTGGCATTGTTACGCACGTGACAGTGAGGTTTAAGATTGGCTAGTCCTTCGGTCACGAGTTGGTGAGAAGGGCTGGGGGTCTGACTCCGCCACCATCACAGGTGACACTGCTGGGTGGCACTGCTAGGCACTGATGGGCACAGGTGGGTGGCACTTTTGGGCACTGATGGGCACAGGTGGGTGGCACTGCTGGGCACTGATGGGCACATGTGGATGGCACTGATGGGCATTGGTGAGTGGCACTGCTGGGCGGCACTGCTGGGCACTGATGATCAGTGCCAATCTGTTCTCTGACAATTGCAGGTTATCGGTAGTACTTTCCTCACGCTTTGACAGTGTGAGGAAAGTGCAGCTGATAATCGGCAACTGTATTTACCCAGTGATCTGCTGTGTCATTGGACACAGCTGGTCATGTGGTAAAAGGTCGCTGTGATTGGCCTTTTAACACATCACGTGATCAGCTGTATCCGTAGGACACAGCCATCATGGAGATTGCCGGTTGCGTGCATCTGGGAGCATGCGAGAGGGCGTGTTCTGGGAGGACATCATATGACGCCTTCCCAGTACTGGACAACCGCACTGTAGTCATCATTCGGCTATAGTGCAGTTCCAAGTGGTTAGACTAGTCCATGCACTACTTTTGGTGGGGTGCAGTGTGATTGCAGCCTATTCAAATGAATGGGCTGAAAACGCACTTTGCTCAGATTGCACAGGGATTGCACAGAAAGGCAAGTGCATTCCTGTGCTATTCCTAATGTGAACTGGCTTTTGCTCTCAACTGAACTGTCAAACCATCAAATGGCTGGTGTTATAACTGTTTTGGGAAAGAACTAAAGTGGAACTAAACCCCCTATCCATTGCAGCCAAGGAAGCTGCTATCGTAGGGCTCATTAAGGGCTCGTTCACACCATGGTGCAAACACGTCAGTTTTTCTGCATGTCAGTTTTCATTAAGGGCACAACTAAATCAATTGTTCCCTATGTGCTCTGTTCACACCACAACAATGGTATCGCATGCAGATTTTTCTGCGCAGGAATCTGCAACATGTATAAAAGTGTTCTTGGGGCTCATTCACATCATGCATGCATGAAAACTGATGTAAACTGATATCTCTGCAAGTGAAATCTGCGTGTTAGTTTCCAGCAGTGCATGTATGGTGTGAACAAACCCTAACACCATATTAGGGTGCAGAAAAACAGATGGAAACTGACATGCAGATTTCACTTGCAGGGAAATCCATTTACATTAGCTTTCATGCACATTTCAGTGACTTTTATACACGTTACAAATTCCTGCGCAGAAAAAAATCTGTGCATGATACCAGGGGCGGACTGACCATTTGGAAACTGGGGCACTGCCCGAGGGCCCAGGGTCAGTAAGGGGCTCCATGAGATGCCCCTGGTACCTTTTTCATAGGCTTTTTTGAGTTTGGGCAAGGACACAGGGGCCCCATGATCCCCTATTGCCCGGGGGCCCCATGAGTTGTCAGTCCACCCCTGCATGATACTAGTGTTGTGGTGTGAAACAAAGTACATAGAGAACTATTATTTTTTTGAGCCCTTAAAGAACACTTGCAGAAAAACTGACATCTCTGCACCATAGTGTCAACTATACCTTAGCCTTTTTGACCTGCACTTGCCATTGTGCTGCACAAGTGCTCAGTTATGACACCAGCCATTTGATAGTTTGACAGCACAAGCAAATGTAACAGTTATCTTTCATGATATGCCTTAAAGGTAATTGTTTTGGGGAACCATTAAAGCGAAACTTTACTCACCTAAAATCTAGTGATGTGTCGTCCCCATAACTCCCTGCCAGCCGCTGACATCTTTGGGTGGCCGACTTCGGGGCCCGATCGCCGGCCGCTGTAATTGATCAGGCGAGGCTGATGTCAGATTCGGTATTGCTAAATTTGTGCAGTGAGCTGCTCTTTGAGCAGCTTATTGCACAGGGATAGGCAGGCAGTTAAGATGCTTTAATGCAGAAGAAACAGAGCATGTCTCTTCTGCATTAAAAATTCTGCCTTTCCAATTTTTAAATCACAGCCTAAAGTTCTACTTTATGGTGGAACTAAACCCTCCTCTCCTTTTCAGCCAGGGAGGCTGCCATCTTAGGCTCTGCTTGATCTGCAAATGCTGCACTTGAGATCAGTTATGACACCAGCCATTTGATGATTTAGCAGTTTGGTTGAGGGCACAAGCAAATGTCACAGTAAGCATTCCCAGCATGCTGGGAATGTAACGGTTTTATCCTGCTGGGGCTCGTTCATACCATATGTGCAGAAAAACAGTTTGAAACTGACATGCAGATTTCACTTGCAGAGACATCAGTTTAAATCAGTTTTCATGCACGCTTGTCACACCATGGTGCAGAGATCTCAGTATTTCTGCACGTGTTCTGCAAGGGCACAACAGAATCAATTGTCCTCTATGTGCCCTGTACACACCACAACACTAGTATCATGAGTGGATATTTTCTGCTTAGAAATCTGCACCGTGTAATTTGATGGGTTTAGTTCAGCTCTTTAAATTGAATGTAGTGGCTATTGAAAACTGAGCACATTAATTTATGTCTTTTATATTTGCCTTAAATAAACCTCAATACATTAAACATTAAGTCCAGAGTGACAGCCAGGCCAGTAGCATTTTTAGAAAAAGCTCAACAATGGCTGCCCCTTATTTCTTTTAGGAAAGGTTTACTTTGGCTACCACGAAGAAAATAAATGCTCTAAGGACCTTGCAAACTCAAATCAAGGTTTCATGTCTGTAACCAACATTGATTAAAGCCAACACATTGTTTCTGCCTTAGGTGTCACAGTTTGTTAAACCAGTTCCAATGACTTTCTACTGCTTGTTAATTATTTCATTTAACCTATGTTTGGCTGCTATAGAGTAAGATTAACAGGAGAAGACCTACAATCTAGGTGGAAAGGATCTGTCAGTGCCGGAGGCTGCTGTCAGTGCCGGAGGCTTCTAACAGGTGGAAAATAATGCTCTACAGTTCTTATCAGTGATCACACTGTTTGTGTGTCTGTAAGCACATTGTGTAATCACAAATCCTGTCACTCCGTGTATTGATATTCCAGTTGGTAAGACAAATCACACAGATAGGAGAAAAATGTACCTGAGAAAATGTTAGCTTATTATTGGCAAATAAGAAATACAAGGATTGTGGGTGGTTAGTTGCTTGCAACATGACATATGTTGGATTAGCGGCAAAGAAAAAACAAAATTGATGTGCTATACAGTGAGATTTGTGACGTCTCTTATCTGGACATTACAGGCTATCACATAGAAGGTTTTTGTATGTCAGGCAAAGATGTTGACAATCTATTTAAGACCAGTGCTTTCTTCTCAATTACACAAGCCAAGCTGCTTTGAAGAACCGTGAACTGAGAAACTACTATTGTCATCATAACTATACTATTGAAAGGTTTGTCCACTAGGTCTCCATGACAACTAAAAACAAAAGTCCCTTAATGTCGGGGACATCTTGCCCATGAGCCCCCCCGTGCTAAGACCTACTTTTAAGGCAGATGACCTACCACACTGCCTTGATGCAGGATATAATGCATACCAAAGCCTAACAAAACCAAAGAGCATCAAGCCATGGTGGCATATCAAAGGAATATAATTTAAAAAAAATGTTTTCAACAGTAATGCAAATAAATAAGCTCTAACAAGCAAGGTCCTCCTCAGGGGCGGACTGACCATTTGGAAACTCGGGCACTGCTCGAGGGCCCGGGGTCAGTAGGGGGCCCCATGAGATGCCCCTGGTACCTTTTTCATAGGCTTTTTTGTGTTTAGGCAAGGACACAGGAGCCCCATGATCCCCTATTGCCCGGGGACCCCATGAGTTGTCATTCCACCCCTGGTCCTCCTTAACCCTCATCTTGAATTGTATTCTAATTTTACCGTCTACCTTTTTGCACAAATTGTTGGCATTATAAAAATCCTATATAATAATAAATGTAACTGTACAATTATAAGGCATCCAACAGAAATGTGCAAGAGAACTACACAAAGGGAGCTAAATAATAAAATATGGAGAGGAAAGTGTCCATGGAAAGGTAGCGAGCAAATAGAGAGGTTACCAGGACATAACAGCAAGGATGATGCTGTCAGGGGAAAAGACGAGGAAGCCCAGGCAAATGCGCCAATGCTCAATATGGCCACGCCAATTTGCGCAAATAAGTGTGCATGTGTATAGGCGGGCGGCACGTAATCGCGCATTCCTGTGTGCAAAAACGCACCGGCACACACAGGGTGCACTAATTGCTGACAGTCAATGGCCTTTATAAGGACTGCAGCTCTTCTCAGTGATTGCTGGATTATCGCCAACCCCTCCCGTTCCTGTGTTCCTGAGTTTACTTCTGATTACTTGTTACTGACCCGGCTTGATCCTGACCTTGTTCCTGTCTGCTGCTCTGTGTATGACCCCGGCTTGCTCCTGACCTTGTTCCTGTCTGCTGTTGCTCTGTGTATGACCCCAGGTTGATCCTGACCTTGTTCCTGTCTGCTGCTCTGTGTATGAACCCGGCTTGATCCTGACCTTGTTCCTGTCTGCTGCTCTGTGTATGACCCCAGTTTGATCCTGACCTTGTTCCTGTCTGCTGCTCTGTGTATGACTCTGGCTTGATCCTGACCTTGTTCCTGTCTGCTGCTGCTCTGTGTATGACCCCGGCTTGATCCTGACCTTGTTCCTGTCTGCTGCTGCTCTGTGTATGACCCCGGCTTGATCCTGACCTTGTTCCTGTCTGCTGCTGCTCTGTGTATGACCCCGGCTTGATCCTGACCTTGTTCCTGTCTGCTGCTGCTCTGTGTATGACCCCGGCTTGATCCTGACCTTGTTCCTGTCTGCTGCTCTGTGTATGACCCCGGATTGATCCTGACCTTGTTCCTGTATGCTGCTCTGTGTATGACCCCGACTTGATCCTGACCTTGTTCCTGTCTGCTACTGCTCTGTGTATGACCCCGGCTTGATCCTGACTTTGTTCCTGTCTGCTGCTCTGTGTATGACCCCAGCTTGATCCTGACCTTGTTCCTGTCTGCTGCTCTGTGTATGACCCCGGCTTGATCCTGACCTTGTTCCTGTCTGCTGCTCTGTGTATGACCCCGGATTGCTCCTGACCTTGTTCCTGTCTGCTGTTGCTCTGTGTATGACCCCGGCTTGATACTGACCTTGTTCCTGTCTGCTGCTCTGTGTATGAACCCGGCTTGATCCTGACCTTGTTCCTGTCTGCTGCTCTGTGTATGACCCCAGTTTGATCCTGACCTTGTTCCTGTCTGCTGCTCTGTGTATGACTCTGGCTTGATCCTGACCTTGTTCCTGTCTGCTGCTGCTCTGTGTATGACCCCGGCTTGATCCTGACCTTGTTCCTGTCTGCTGCTGCTCTGTGTATGACCCCGGCTTGATCCTGACCTTGTTCCTGTCTGCTG